ATAACGATCTCCTTCCCTCCTTCCCTTTTTGGATATTTCTTTGCAATCGAATCTTTTTTCTCCTACTTTGTATACTCCCTAAAAGATGTCCTTCATTTGAATAACATTCTAATCTAATGGATTTTTCTTCCTCTTCTTCTCCCCCCTCTTATAAACATACAATTTATTTCAATTTACTCTTATTTCATTTTTCAAATTTGAGTTTTTATTTTCGTTAATAAAAATAGAAGAAAATATATCCTACCATATATGTTATAATACAGATCATTTTTTAAGAGCTAATGCTCCTCGTAAACTTTCACAATATTATGTATATTTTCATGCAATATAAAAAATGTTCTTACAAAAATAGTAGTTTTGTTAAACATAGACATAAAAAGAATTATAAATTACATAAAAGATTTATGTAAAAATCTATATACACACTGTGAGAAAGTATTAGAGGAAAAATTGTTTAATGTTATATGGAATTATTGTTTACACAACTTTCTATAGCTACCACTTTTTACGCATTTTTCGTAAGATTATGCGGAAGCAGAGTCTATATGTTTTTTGTACCTTAAATATATATTTACGCATAAAAAGCAAATTGTTCGCAGCTACATATAAGTAAATGAAACATACATTTAAGTTCATTTAAGTAAAATACATTTAAGCAAGATGGTTAAATACCAAAAGGAATTAAAGTTCTGGTAATTTTAAAAATGAATATATAACCAGGTTAAATTTAAAAATGAATATCAGATTACAACCTAAAGTTGTAACCTGATTGAGATCTCACTACAACTTGGAAAAACTATCTTTGGAATGTGTAAAAGTTGGCAGCTTTGACAAATGCAATATCAAGGAAACATAAACAATCAGTTTACGAGACACAATCGAATGTTATCAGAATGGAAGAAAAAGTAAGAAATAAAGAAATCAAAGGAAAAAAAAAGAAAAGAGGAAAGAAGAGGATTGGCCAAAGAAAAGAGACGAGTCCTCACATTATGCAGTTTAATGTTCTTTTTTTCTCTTTTACGAAAAGTAAAATTTTAAGACTTGTTTTTTGTTTGTACTAAATGATTCATATGCGTAACCTTTAAGAAAAACTTAAGTATTTTAGACAAATTACTTCTTCAGTAACAAAACTTATGTATCCAAGTTTTGATAGCAAAGTTTAGATTGATAGGATTATTAACGATCTTCTTCACAATCAAATTTAAATAAATTTTTTTTAAAATTATTATAGCATGCATTTTATAACACAAGTGCATTTTCACTAATATTTTTTAATTTTTTTTCTCACAAAATCAAGAAAGTGAAGTAAAAATTTAGCATAACTTATAACTAATTTATTTTTAAAAATTTGTATTTCTCTCCTATTAATCAATAAGTGAACATAAAATTTTATAAACTATTTTAAAATCTGCAGAGTATCACAGATGGTTGAATTCTATCTGCACTTTTTTTTAAACACGTAGATCCGGTAAAATGATCCGGTAACACGTAGATAAACAATCCGGTAAAATTACCGCACTGTATGGCAATGATAATAAAACCCAAACTATATTAAAAGTATTCATTTGGTAATTTTTCCATTCATGTGTGATCAAAATTACAGTTCTTATTACTACACGCTTAGTATAAAATATTAAATTTAACCAAATAAATGATTTTTATGCCAAGCTCTAAGGAATCACGAGGAAATTACGATATTTTACCACATAATTCAATATTTATCACATTTTATGAAACCATATTTTATTATGACGCCCGGTGGCTGAGCGGTAGCGCTTCGCGCTGTCGTGCTACGGGTCCCTGGTTCGATCCTCGGGCCGGGCAAGGTTCACTCAGCCTTTCATCCCTTCAGTGGGTCGGTAAAATGAGTACCAAGCATGCTTGGGAACTAACACTGGGGGTTCCGCGTTCGGCTAACCACCTGACCGGAACATATGCTCCTGCACCCCAGAGCCCAAGGTCAAGAAAACTGAGATGGGCACAGTCGGCCTTGGCCCTCTTAATGGGCTGTCGCGCCACTGAGTTAGTTTAGTTATATTTTATTATTGATTTGATCAAAATCATTACCAAAACCCTGGGCCTTAAAAATGACTGTAATTTTTGGTTTTCTAATAGAACCATAAACATGCACTATTAATTTTACCACATTCTAGTTATTTTGACCATACTTTTTTCTCAGTGTTTCAAGACTTTATTTAGTGTACAAAGCTCCTGATAAATAAAAATTAAAACAGAAGAGTCTTAAACAGGATTTATTTGTAGACAAGTGCAAATTAGTATACGTAATGACCTTCAGAAGAAAATGGTAGCTGCGTGTAACAATTAAAATTTACTATTATTTTTAATCATACAAAGCGCGAAGCACCTCTCTAGCGAAAGAGGTAGCTAATCATTGCTTTACTTTGTAAACAAGCGATAATATTTTAACCAAAATTTTGAAGCTTAATTATAAATAAGTAACCTGAATGATTTAAAAAAAGTTTTTCTTTTTTGGCTTTTTTTAGTTTTGGTTGAACAAACCAAAAACCTTAAGAGAATATTCAAAAATGTACTTTTCGCGGATCATATGTTTTCTAAAACTTCTGCAATTTTTTTTTCTCTCATAATTTAAATTAAATAAATATAAAATTTGGCACAACTGTATCCTGCATCTAGTATTAACTTTTTCGAGCAAACTGGGATTCAACCATTCAAACATTTTATTGTTGTTATTATTTTGCATTACCCTGTACTTATTTTTTATTTAAAATAAATTCACCGAATATCATTAGCATACGCGCTCTTCAATATCATTGTACAAGACAGTTAAAATGAAGAGCATTCATCATTGTGGGCAGCAGTTATATTTTTTACAGATGAGCATAAATTAGAAGTGTCGACAATATTACAACGGCGTAAATGGGCACGAAGACTGTCATGACCAGTCAAAAGTCAGAAAAAGGACAGTCAAAAGTTCAAAGTCAGGCAGTAATGACTAGTCAAAGAGCCTTCCAATGAGGTGAATGGGTTCGAATCCCACAGATAGGTGGTTGATACGAATTCTGCACCGACCGCAGTGCTGACGTAAGATATCCTCAGTGGTAGACGAATCATGGGTAAGGGTTCCCTTGCTGTCAGGTTAACCGTGGGAGGTTTTCGTGGTTTTCCTCTACATGTAACGCAAATGCGGGTTAGCTCCAACAATAAGTCATTCACGAAGGTAAATTTATCCCGATACATGTTACAGGAGTTCCTTTATTTTCTGGATTGGGTTGAAAATTACAAGGTTACGGAGTTGAAAATTCGTAGTCGTAAATCCAAAATTCAATCGGCTGTTTAACGGCGGTTATAAAATTAAATATAGAATAAAATGAACAGTCAAAAGTCTGAATGATACTAAAAAAGGGAATAAATTCGTATACAGTTAAGCTTCAAGTAATCAAGTTACAGAAAAAAAAATTATTATTTACTTTTTATTAATGTTCTTTGTGGTGTTCTTTTAAGTATTTTGTTTAATGTTTATTGGAAACAAGTTTGGAGATGTTTTATAAAGGATTCTCAGCAATTCTATTACACGTGCTTATCTGCCTCTTAAAAGTAAAAAAGAAAACTGAGATGATAAAAATCTGCAGATTCCGTAATAATCTGCCGATCTCGTTGCTTTACTGGTGGGTTTCTGCTCTTTAATTTAGCAAAACACTCAATTCATCGGTTTTGATCAGTGGTCCAAAGTAGCGCGCTACAAGTAGTAAAACTACAGAAGTCGCTTCCTTTTTCCGTAGTTTGTAGTGTAGTGCGCTACTTTTTGAAAGAGGTATTGTAGTGAGCAGTGCGATACAAAAAAGCAATAGTTTGTAGTGATTCCTGGCAAGTACTTTTTACACTAGTTAAATAAAGAAACAAAGTTCAAACTCAACAAATTTTCGAATTTAATTGGTGCAAATCTTTCACGGGCCCGTCAACGTACGCAATGCGAATGATGAGCATTTGAACTTGGATGAGCGTTGATACTATCTACGCCTAATTATGCTCTGAAAAATCGGTTGGGTTGTTCGGGAGAAATCGAATTTTCAATACCTGGCGTTTTCAAAATAATTGCACAGGAGCTATAATGTACTATTTTGTGTCTAAATTCGTAACTTAAAAATATCGTCTGCATTAATTAACTATTTATTTGCGATCCCCCCTTGAAGCATTGGGATTGAGTCCTAGAACGTGAAGATCTGATCATTAGATCAAAACTTATCAGGTTGGTCCATTTTTTTGTTTTTCCCACTGTACTTTATTTCTTAGAGGGTATAAAAAAAACATTGATTACTCGAATCACAAATATTCGGTAACTTCCTAGCATTTCTTAAATCCCTGTCGAGAAAAGCATAGAAATAGAAAGTTAAAAGAACAAGTTCGTAAAAAGTGCTTTAGAATAAAGAAAAAAATATTTCATGCAAAACATGAATTAAAATATCTTCTCATATTTTACCAAGCCAATTTTGTATTCAAAATCATTTTGAATATTAGTGAAAATTAAGTTCTCCAGTTGAGTTTGACATCTAAATGTAGCGAAGTAGTGACTATATTTCGAAACTAGTTTATAGTCACTCTGCTTTTAAAAAATAAGTAGTTATAGTTCACTACAAAAAAATTTGACTTTTCCGATCACTGATTTTGATTGATTATAATAACGAGAGGAACAAAACTATACTCAATATGGTATAAAAAATGGGCAATAAATTTTTTATAAGATTTTATACCGGGATGTTGACCTAACACAAGGATGTCATCAACAGGAGGTCAAAGGGGAACATTTGTCCACTCGTAAGGCACATACACAACTTCAAATCAAGGAAATTTAACAACTTATTTCAAATTATTTAACAGTAAAATGAATTGAAGTAGAATCCATATCTGCTATCTCGTTTTACGTAGATATTGTGTCTGTTAATTTTTATTAAGAAATATTTGTGCAAAAGTAATTACTACAAACATAATTTGCGAAAGAAATATTGTTTTTAGCAACTTACCTCATCAGTGAAATACTGCGAACCAAATTCATTCATAACGGTAGTAATAACAAACAACCACTTTTTAACTGTTTCATTGTTGTTTCTTCCAGTTTGGGTGTCAGAAAGTAACTGAGTGTTAAGAACCAGGATTTAAAAAGTAAATATAGATTTCAAATGTTGGAGAGAGAGAGCGAAAGAAAGAAAAAAAAATCTCTTACGTTCTTTTTTAAGTTGACTGCCAAGCGCGGAGTTGGCGGAGAAAAAAGAAGCCTCTTTATTATTATATTTCATTTTCGTTGTTGCTATACTAGTACATTGATTGAGTGCTTTTATTAAACGTTCCTGATCGTAGGAAATTTGAATCACAGCCAAAGGCCATTAAATTATCTGTTATTGTTTTCAGAAAGATTATGGATGTAGTTGAATTTATGAGCAAAATATGCATTGAACAATGACCGTTGTTTAGGATATCCGTCTAAGCATGACCTCATTTTGAAAGAAAATGTTAACGTTAGTTTTTCTACAATACTTTTTCGGTTTATTGCAATAACAAAGTAAATAAACAAAAATATTTTATTACTTATTTAATGGAAAAATTATAGTTTGGTAACAGTTCATGGATTTTCCCTGGCAAACGAGTAGTTAGTGCTGCAGAATGAAATTGCAGAATTCTGAAAACGTTCACATTTAATTCTGATAAGAAATTAGTTCGGACCTACAATTCCTACTTATTCTTCAGTAAAATTACCTTCTAATTCTGAATAAAAACCATATTTTAACTTATTACCCATTTTTTTCTGGGAAATCCCTCCCTATGCTTGTCACTTTTTATTGCTATAAATTGGATTTGGATAGTGGGAGAGAATTTTTTTAAAAATTAAGTTTTTTTCTGAGAGACTACAGAAGGAAAAATACGAACATTTGTAGCTAGAAAAGATTATCCCATTTAAATTGTCGTTTTTCTTTCTATTCTTCCGAATTTTTTAAACTCATTTCTTTCATAACCCAGTTCTTATACCCTTTTTTCTTCACTTTGTATAATAAATAATAAAATATAAAACTTGATTTTAGCTAAATAGAGTTGAAGGGAGAGAAGTGTAAAGTTCTAACAAAACGGGTTGGAAGATTCACCATAAAATGATTAAAAAATGATTTATTATATTTCACTACATCTTGAATATCTATTATGAAATTTAATGATTAAAATGATCACTCTCAGTCCAAATATATTCGTAGCTATAAAACTATCAAAAAGTAATAAACATGGGGGGAAGCGTTCCCATAAAAGGGTGGGTAATAGGGAAAAGCAATGGTTACAATCGAGCAGCAATAATGGTGTTGAAGTTCGAATCTTGTTTCGGCAAAGCTGAGTTAATTTATAGCATTGCTTTCAATGATTTGTTTGGTTGCACCTAGTTTACATACTCATTAGTATTAGGCACAGCAATAAAAAATCGTGATCGCATCGAGAATTAAGCTGCTATCGCATTACAACTTTGCAGGTTATTCAAATAATATATTTTGAAAATGCAAATGAAATCTTTTTCAAATACTTTTCAAAAACCATGAAACCAACATAAAAATAAATATTAAATTCTTAGGAAAAATCATATAAAATTTTAGACGAAATAGAATGAGATAATAATTTATAGAACTACAGAGGGAAATTTTTTTTTATTGCTGTAATATGTATCTAAAAAGAATTGCAGAATGTTTTAACAAATCACGTCATTAAAAGTCACTGCAAAAGTACGGAGACTCGTAACTTCTAAGCAAGTTGCATATAATTTTTTTTCCACAAAGAGTCGCGAAAAAAAGATAATTTTTGCCTTAATTATTTTGCCATATTATTTTTTTCATTTATCATAAAATATAATTCATTGTTGTTTTCTTACAAAAATTAATTACCTTTAAAAGGATCTTGCAGACTAACATATCCATCAGATTTCATTAGACTTTTTAAAATTTTATTTCGGAATTTAAGAAACTTCCTTGAGATAGAATTCCTATTATTCTCTTAAACTTTCCAAATAACTATCAAACCAAAAAATAATTTTCTCTAATTTCTCATTTAAAAATAATATATATTTTTTTTAAATTTAATGTTTTCAATTCTTTTTCTTTTTTTAAATTTTCATTGTCTAAAAAAACTAAAAATAATATCTAACTCATAACTGAAAAAAATGTTTTTTATTTTTAAAAGCATTTCAATGTATAATACATCAAAAGATTAAAATGAAGTTTCATTAAGAAAAGATGCATGACTCAGGCAGTATGATTTTATTTTGTATTATATACATTTAAATTGTTTTATGATTACATGAAGTTTGAATAAAATAACAACATCAATCACAATCTTTCAGCTGCTGCAGAGACGCCGTCAACCATTCTTATTTCCTCACGGTGAGTATCTCGGTAAGGCTTTAGTAATTTCCTTAACCTCTGAAGAAAAAAAAATACTAAATAAAAAAAATTAACGTTACAGCACAGAAATGACCATATCATATAGAAAATTATGTTTTGTATAGTGCGCAAAATAAAAAATGGACCACCGTGAATATCTTTTGATGTAATTATCTGATCTTTACGTTCTAGCAGAACTCATTTTTAATGGTTCAAGAGGGTAACCTCAAATATTCTTTTTAATTGGCGCAGACGATATTTTAAAAGACGAAATCAGAAATAAAAACGTATTTTCTTTTAATAAATCTACATTTTTTTTAATGGTCTCGGATTTTTGACTCCCGACATATAGGGGGTAGCCGCATTCTGGAAAATATAGTTCTAATAGTTTGGTCAGGAGAGCAGTCCAAAGTTAGGACCTCTTATTGTTACTTTTTGCGTATTTCGCTACATCATTCGAGAACTTCTTAAGCGAATTGAGAAATTTTTGCACGCAATTAATACATTCATTTGTTCAAAGATGATTCTATACTAAAAATGGATTTAATAAATATTTACTAGTTTTTTATTATTTTATTTAATATTAGTCGAGAAAATTTTAAATTGTAAGGCACATAATTTTTTACATCGCTTTAAATTACATAATTTCGCACAGCAAAATACAAAATTTGAGTGAAATTGCTCAAATAGTTCCTGAAATTTCCAAAAAATTGTATTTTATAAAGCTGATTACTCAGAAACTATTCGATCAATTTCATTCAAATTTAGTATTTTGCTGTGTGAAATTATATTGTTTAAAATTATGTAAAAAAAAAATTGTGTACCTTACAATTCAAAACTTTTTCGTTTAATATTAAATAAAATAATAAAAATATATTAAAAGTTATTTTTGCATAAAATTATCTTTGGACAAATAAATTTTATAACTGTGAGTAAAAAGTTTTCAACTCGCTTTTAAATTTCTCGAAATAGAACTAAAATTAACATTATGGGGTTCAAACTTTGGATTGCTCTCCTGGCCAAACTATGGAGATCATATTTCCAGATTGAAGCTACTCCCTACATTTTGGGGGTCAGAAATCCAAATCCTTCGAAAAAGAGGTATGTTTATTCAGAGAGTTTTCGTGTCTGATTTCATAACTTAAAATATCGCCTGCATTAATTAATCAGTATACTTGAGGTCACCCCCTTGAACCATTAGATTGAGTCCTAGAAACTAAAAATCCGATCATTAGATCAAAAGTTATTCAGGGTGGTTCGTTTATTTTTTTACGCACTGTACACAAACAACTTGTTGAAACATGGTAGAGGTCACACATTAGTATTTAAAATAACAACGATATCATACATTAGTATTTAAAATAATAACATTCGTATTTAAAATAATAATGAACCCCAAAATTGGCTTAGGTCACTTAAAATAAGCCTTGAAAATGCAGGCATCAAGAATTGCTCCGAATTTCTAAATTATTATAATTAATAGCAACACGGTAAAGAGAAATAACATCATTCCTAATTTTAACACTTATATTAAAATATCACAATGAAACTTTTAAATAAACGTGAAAACGTTACTACTTGTAATGTATTTACAAAATTTGCCCTTAATACAGAACTGTACAAAAATTAATTTAACATACTTTTAAAGCTTTAGAAGCGACCTAATGTTCGTCAATATTCAAAGCCATAATATAACTTGCGAGCACACATTACTTACTAAAGTCAATCAAAAAAACATTTCACAAAAAATGAGTTCTTTATATAATTACAGTTAGTTCTTCAAATAATTTTTTTTAAATCCATATTTTTTTTTTAAATTCCTTTTACATTTAAATTTCAATTTCAGCTCTTACTTGCATGAAGGTTCCAGGTGTTTTCAGCATCTGAAAGATTGCAACAATTGGAATACAGAGGACTGAAGACGCTGCTATGCACCATCCAAAAATGTTGGCCCATACAGGATAGACGTAATGTTCATAACTGAGAGGTTCGTAATCAATGAGGCCATACACTATGATCAGCTGCAATCAATAAATTTTCTTTAGAATTATATATATATATATATATATATGTACAGTCAGATCTCGATATAAGGTCATCCGCATATAAGGTCACCCCGCATATAAGGTCACTTTTCCAATGTCCCGGCTCACTGAATAGGAATTCTTTGTTACAGATTATCGGATATATGGTCAACTTTTAAAAATCATTATCGCTTATAAGGTCATTTTTATCTGCTCTTCTCTAACAAAAGCCTATTTAACTTCCTTACAAGGCAATTACCCCTCTCGAGTTCTAGGAAAATGTTGCAGCCAACGAACAAGCTACAATTTCTGAAATTGTTTCACAAATTGTGGACAGTGAGGTAAATGACAGTGATCCTGAGACTGTAGCAGTAACCCAAGTGGAAGCCTTCAATGCAACAAATGTCATACGAAATTTTTTTACAAAACATTAGGGAACTGAGGAACATTTTGAGAAGTTACAAAATCCAGAAAACATTGTTCGAAAAATGAAACCAGAAACGAGGCAGACCTGCATAAATGATTGTTTTAAATAAGGTAAGATGTAATGTATGTATGTACACTTTGAGGAAATTTGTAAACATCTTTATTTTAATTTACTACTAATTCTGTTAAAACTCTGTTAATTTACTACTAATTCTGTACTTTCTTTAATTCGCTACTAATTCTGTTAAAATTTATTGACTTAAATATTTAATTTATGGTAGATCGTTTTCGTTTGTATTACCATTTTTAAAAATCATAATGTGTACTATTTACGTGCTTAGTTACGAACTGCGAATGAATCGGTTAAAAGGTCATCCCTCTTACAAGGTCACTTTTGTGATGTCCCTTAGGGTGACCGTATCTCGCATGTTTTGAACTACATACTAAGAAAAAAGTAGAATTTCATTTTTTATGCATGTCTTCTCTCAAAAATGTTTTGCTTTTTTAACAACATTGATCTTTANTATAATGTATAGTGCATCCAAGTACAAGCTATATGATGCCTGCCAAGCTCCAAGCGCGAACGAATATCAGCATCGCCAACTCTTGAAACGACGTAGCACAGCCTACTCTTGGCTTAATAAAAATGGCACGAATTAAATTTCTCTCGTACGAGTTTAACTTTTAAAAGCTTTTATATTGTTTTAAAAGCATAATTATATAATTTGATAGCTAAATAAAACGGAACTATATGCAGTCGCGAAGGATTACTTAAATCCTATACTGCAATGGTCTTTTCTTAACTTGCAACGGTGATTAACAGCAATTATGAAAAATTATAATTCGGGCATGAATTTATGAAAAATTGCAATAGTATTTCACATAACGCTTTTTAAATTACTATTAAATAACTGAATTCTTTAATGAAGAAACATGCTTCCCTAATAATCATTTTAAACGTTTTTAACTGCTTTTTTTATATAGCAAATTAAAAAGTGATTTTTAGCTAGATTAGAATCATCTCCAAGAGAGTGAATTCAAAGGTCGAACATAAAACCTCATTTAAGTGAAAGTTTTCCTTCATTTTATTAAATAATAAGAAGGCTAAAGGACGTAATAAAGTTGTCTATTACTTGTTAATACGAACATAATTGCCTTCATTTACTTTAATTATTAAATCTCGGTTTCGAAGGCAGAAGCTTGATTATTTACGGCTCCGCAGCTGAAAAAAATTAGAAATCACTGATCTATTGTATACACTAATATATTTTAAATAAAGAATATCAGATTTTTATGCTTAATATTTAGTTAAAAGATGTATTCAAATTAAATTTAAACTGTGATATACAAACTACATAGAATGGTTGACAGAATGTAAACAATAACAAGCTTCCAAAAGCCGGAAGAGATTTAGAAAACTTCCGTTGTATCCCTCCGCTTATGTTATGCTTACAAGTGTAAACAGGCTTAATATTCCAAGAAGTTTTTTTATTGTGATTTGTGTTTAAATTTGCGCTTAATTTTACCACTCATAAGACTTTTCTGTAATTTATAAATTCTAACAGGTCGCGAGCACAAAAAAAATTTAACAAAATTAATATCTCAGCGCAAATAAAGCGTAAGATTTGCCATGTTTTGAGTGTTATCACCTGTTTGGATATATTTCTGTAAAATAGCGCCGTTTGTTATTTTTCGGGTCTCATCATAGCAAGCTTGCGGAGATTTACGAATTCATTTGTTGTTTGTTTCGTCGAAAGTTAAATTGAAAAAACGCGTTATCTTGAAAACACTACAAGTGTAATAAAATTAGCTGGCGCGTTTTTTCAAGCTTATGCGTAAAAAAATCAGTCGTAAATGGTAACCCGGAAGTCTTACGGCGAGCTTTGACCCACAGCGCGTTAGCTTTACACGATATTGTAAATACCTTGATCCATATTGTAAATTATAATTTGCAAATATCCATTTATTGCCATCCAATTGAAAATGGGCATGGTTCATAAAAGTGAACATATTTTCAATGTAGTACCTGCTTACATTGTTGTAATTTAATGTAGTACACGCCTACATTGTTGTAGTTTAACTGAAAAGTATTGAGAGAATTTTGATAAAATATTACTTTTTTCTCAATTAAAACTCTAATGATGGTGTTGCTGTATTCCATTGCTCTCGGGGCATTTTTATTGGCAGGAAAATCACGTGGTATGATACAGTTTTCCCTCATTCATTTCCATATTGTCTTCGTTATCATAGCATAAAATTAATAAAAGTTACAAAGGTATTGTTTTTCTATAAATATTTTTGTATCCCTAATTTAAAGGTATTTTCCTGCACTACTTTTATTACGCTTTTGAATGAAAAATTTAAAACTAAGAGAATTGTTTGTTTTTTTTATTATTATAACGTTACAATTCTGTTACAATATAATTCTGCGTTACATTTTAAGATAAAATTATTTAAAAAAAGGTGTTTAATCTTATTAACCGTTTTGAAATTATTATTTTTTGTGCAAATAACATTAATATATTGCTGGAAATTACCGTTATAGAGATTCATTAGATGATTTAGAACTTAACGATCAGCTTCATGCACAGTATGAGACGCAAGCAAAAGTAATATTTAATATATCCACCTTTTCGGTAAGTAAAAATATTAAATTACAATTCAGAACACACCAAATTTGTTAAAACAGTATTATGTTACATAATGTTAAAACAATATAAATGTTATTTTTCAGAAATGAATACTTAGAAAAATTACTTCTGTTTACCAATAGATTTAAATACTTATAATAATAATAATTAATATTATTTGAACGTGAGAAGCGGAGGTACAAGCGGAAGCAACCAGGATTATTTAAGTGAATAATATCAACTTTTGTAAATAAAACTCTTTTCGGCCAAAAAAAGACAATTATTGCGAAGCAATCATAGGGGTTGGTGAGCGGCAGCGAACAGGAGGCTTAGCCACCGGCTATAAAATTTGAAGTTAGCAATAGCATTCGTTGTTGCTGGAGAGTACATAAAATAGGTTAGCATAAAAAAATTTTAAAAAATTTATAAATAAATACTATCTTAAAAGGGAAATGCTAATTACCATTAAAAATACAGGAGCTATAAAAAACCAACAGAATTTCCACCATTTTCCCACTTCGAAGCCTAGCATTTCCTTTATGTCGCCCGAGAATCGGCCAATTCCTGAAAAGAAAATTGACGATATCATAAGAATTCAATAAAAAAAGGAAGCTAATTTATTTTTCAGTCAATACTAATGGGATAAAAAAATATTGTAAAAAGGTTTTCTAATAAATAAAAATAAGCGTTGTTTATATAATGTTAAAAAAAAATTTTTACCTTTTGCAGTTCGAAATATTTTTTTATCTTTTTTAACCCCTGTGAGAATTTGTTCCGACTCTTTCCGAACTTCAAAACTGTCTACTTTTCTGCATCCAATGATTAGTTATAATTGAATATTAATCCCGTAAAGCACGAGTTTTTTTTCCTCGGGAAAAGTGACAAAAAAAATAGAGTTTCATTTTTTTTTTTTTTTTTTTTTTCAAAAAAAACTGAAATCGAATATGTAGGCATAGTGTGTAAGCTATTTTCTGCAAATTTCAGTTGTGGGGGTGACTAGGGAGTAGGGGTTGGTGCATAAAAATTATGAAAAAAAATTACTGTACAAACAAAGTTTAAACAATTTGATGACAGGTTTATTTTGAATTTCGAAATATTAAAATCAACTTAAATCAATATAACAATTAATAATTAATAAATTAAATCCATATATCAAATAACTAATCATCAAAATACCCCACTTGGTTTACACGAGAAAAATACTGCATAGTGGTGTCATTTATGGCAAGTAAATAAAATTATAGTCTAGCCTATCTATTATGACTATAATCGATCTCAGACGGGTATTAGAAATGAAATAACGCGTGATACAAAATTGCCCGTGTGACACACGGTCATATGCAAATTTGCCGGTAACTTTCGCCAGTTAAGGGGCTAAAGAAGTGTTAAACAGGAAAGAAATTTTTATTAAAAATTTGCCCAACCGCTCAGTACGTAAGAGATTAAATTATAAGATAAATACCACGACTAACTTACATGTATTTAAAAATAGGCTTATTGAGTCAAAAAGTTATTCAGGGTGTGTAATTTTTACGAATTCATTCCATTTTTATTATTTACGATTTGTCTGCAAATTAAACTGATCTGCACTGAACCTTCATCTTCAAATTAAACTGATTTCACAAATCCATCTTTTTTTTAGTAGCTATTTAGTTTTACTCGATTCTATAGACCATAAATCCATAATGGACCACAACTTACCATAAATCCAAGAAACAGCAATGGCTTCGAAGAAAACAGCAAATAGAATGGAATAGCCAGCTGCATATCGATCTAACAATTGAACAATATAGGCTCCACCCTGTAAACGACAAACCATATTTTGAAATTTAAATTATCACATGACACGCGCAGTCTTGAGAAAATAGCATGATAAAATTTATTTTTTAAAATAAAACTACAAATAAAATTATTTTCTTAGATTCTTTTTCATTCTTAAGTAATTTTCCTTAGTTACTTTAGTTTTTAATTCTAAACTAAGTTATAAATTTAACTTAACATTGAAACTTGTTTTACTAATATATATCAAATCGGGTTATTTATATCCATAAGTAGTTCCACATCTGTATTATGTAAAACACCAACACGCATACTTATTGTCACGAAACCGATGAAATTTCTTTTCTCAAGTTGAAAAAAAAAAGTGGTGAAAGGAATTGAGCTACAAACTGGCAAAAATAAAAGTTGAAAAGCGAACAGCTCATAAAATTCAACTTGCCAAGCTAAAATATGCAAAACATATTTTCTAATATTTAAAAACTAAATTATTATTTTATTTAATCCTTTTCTCAGTAAATAAAAATCGTTAATATAATCTGTTATCTTTTAATACCACAACCTTGCGTGCAGAATAAAATGAATTCTTAGAGATTCTACCTTATCAGCATAGAGTTCGAAAACCGTTTTATGCTTGTTAATGTTTTGAATTCATTGAGTTATGTTATTATTTCTCATACTTTCTTTTTCGCCAACACATATGAATTCATAAAGCTAAAGAAAATGAGCCTATGGTAATAAATAAACTCAATTAATAGCCAATATATGGATACCTTTACTTCCCTTGGCGAAAACTTTTCCAACGTATTCATGAAACTTGATTTTTGATTTCTTGGTGGACTGAAAGTGTCCTGTGGGGCTTAGCCTTGCAGCCCCATCGTCCGGATAATTTTTTTTAAATTTATAATTTTTAGCATTTTATACGTACATTAAAAGTGATAAACTACATTGGAACTCCATATTTTTAGTAATAAAATTATTTGTTTTATTTATCATAATTAGATTCTTTACTATATTCGTTTATATTCACACTCTGGACAATAGAATTATTAAACGAATGGATAATAATAATTTCTTACAATGAGTCATCATTCTTCAGCTATTGGTAATCATCATCGTCAGGATAAATATTCCACTAATATTGCATTTCCTCCAACTACATCAAACTAGTTGATGATTACTACTGCAGTAGTAATCATCAAATTCTTCATCAAACATTTCTTTTAACCATGCTTAAAAATTAACGCAGGTAACATAAAAATTCTGAACTACATTTCCCAGTTTTAATGATACCTTATTAGCAAAGCAGGAAAGATGTGCATTTTCATGAAACTGAGATGCAACAGAATAAAGAGAAATAGACCAGAAATAAGTTAATTCAACATAATTTTTTTAACCCTGGCTTATGTCCCTAATTTTTAAGTATCACTCAGCATTTGTTTTTCCTTTTCTAACCTTTATCCTTCGCTTTTATTTATTTTATGAATTTATGAATGAATAAATGATTTGAATCAGTTGGGTCTCAGAACTCTGATAATTGGAGATATATAGAGAAATTCTATAAATCCCTCTGCTTGCTATCACGAAAGAGACTTCCGAAGCAACTTTCGCAGTTCCTTTTTGATCGCTTCGCTCGGATACAAAAATGCAGACTCGTACAAACAATATGTTCATGCATAAACCAAAACAGTCTGACTTTCAGACTTTCTTCAGCTCTCAAACTTATTCGTTCTAAACAATTGAGAGCAGTAAAACGCATTGCGAGTTAGCTCAAAAAGCAAACTTATACGTTTTAAGTTATTGAGAGCAGTAAAACGCATTTAGACTTCGCTCTTATAGCAAACTTATACGTTTTAAGTTATTGAGAGCTGTAAAACGCGTTTGCTCTGATGGCAAACTCATACGTTTTAAGTTATTCAGAGAGGTAAAACGCATTTCAACTTAGCTCGGAAGGGAAACTTTTACGCTCTAAGTTATAAAGAGCAGTAAAGTTTGTATAATAAAAAAAACTAACTATGCATTTCAGAAAATTACAATAATTTTTTTCGTATTTATTTAATAGTCATTAGATTTTACTAATAATTTCAATGATCAACTGTGACGACAACTCAAAATCATTTTGTGACAACACATTCCTCTTGGAAAGGTTGATCCCTTTATTTTTTCTAATATCACATTGAGTAATGTAATGTTACACAAAAATCAATTAAATTTCGAATTTAAATGCAATCAAAACGAGTATAAAATAAAATTAAAATGTTACATAAAACCATTATTAAATTTGTGCTCACACATGGTTCAGACACCTCTATTTAATGACAAAACTACACAAAAATTGAGCAGCTATCTTTGAGAGAAAGGCTTTTAGTGCACCCTTGATGAAGTGAAAACAATTGGTACAATAAGGAGCTGAAATTAGCTATATATGAGGCAGATATTAGCAAATAAAATAAGCAGCATTGAATTAGTTAAATACGTCCGTAGAATTTAAAGTATTCAATTTTCAAACTAATCGGTACACAAATGAGAAACAGGTTCTGGCCAGTGTGAATTAACTGCGTTGAAGTAGACTTTAAAAGGCTGAAAGTGATAGAATCGAAGAGGGAAACAGACTAGAGGAATATTTTGAAGAAGGCCTTGGCCCACTAGGGGCTGTCAAGACAATAAAGAAAACATTGGGCTTAAATATAAGAATAGAGAAACATGAAAACTTATGATTTGCTATAGTATTAATAAGTTGCTTAATTCAACCATACTCCTGTTTAAATTGAATAATAATATCGTGTTACTGTAATTAAGAAGGGAGTATTCTTACGATATATTTCAGTTTAGCAATTTGTAACTGGTAAATTAAATTGGAATAATATTATATAAATTAACATACTTCAATATTTTTAACAATGTACATTTAACAATCTATATTAAAAGAAAGGAAGATCAGTGTGCAATACATACCTGCGTACAGCTTGGAAGGCCCACAAGAAAATAAAATGAGAAGAGACCAGCGACGAATAATTCTCTGTTTTTCTTCAGAAAAGGGTATTCGTCGCTTACTGCCGTAATAATAGCTTCAGACCCACCAAACTAAAACAAAGAATACAAATAGAATAAATACTTTGACTGAAAAATGGTACTTGCTTTGAATGTGTTTGTAAAAATCGTTAAAGTGTATCATAGAAATTAATAGACTATTACTATTAGACTATTTAATCAAACATCTAAACTGTTACCATTAGAATAATGAAATGACTTATCGAATTTCAAGACTATTACTAATAGATAAATAAAATAATTTTGTGAACTTCCAGACAATTACTGTTAAACCAATGGGATATTTTATTATTCTATAAGACTAAGATATTATTGATATTATTTTATAAGCTGTCAGTAATAGATCCACGTAGTTCTCAAGCTACTACCATTAGACAGAAAAGACATTTAATCGATTTACAGACTCACTAATAGATTTTTTTCATTTAAAAATAATGCAACTATTGCCATATTATATCATTGAATTAATAGTGCTACAGATTCCTTGAACGCTTACCTCTGTTGGCGGAAACTTTAAATTCAAAGACTTAAAAATATGGTTGTTAAAAAAATTGTGTTTAATGGGATAATTTTTTGAGCGAAATTCATCAACATTGAACTGAAGAAAAAATATTCAAAACCACCTGAATATAATAAAGTTTAACGAGTTTCTGGCTCTATGGGAACAACAAGAAGCTGAGTAATTTTTACCAAAGCTCTCTGGTAATGATTTTTAGAAATTAAAAATAAAATATAGTTTTATAACACGGGATAAAATTCAGCAAATGAGAGAAAATTTGGCAATTTTATCATGATCCCTTAGAGCATAGCATAAAAACCATTTAATTTGTAAAATTTGCTTTTGAGTTTTGTATTTTTTTCTAAATGTGTGGTAATAAGTAATATCATTTTTAAAACCAGAATTTCTGGGAAACCATTACCATATGAAAGCAAAAAATAACAAATGAATCGTTTAAACACTGTATATTTTGGTTGAATTATGGTTTCTTTTACCAGAAACGTCATTACCATACGGTATGGTAATTTCTCCAGAATTTCTTTCTTCGTGTGTACATTGTGCAAAATAAAAATTAGATTAAATTTTGATTTACTGATCGGACTGTCATATACTAAAATGCAATGTTAATGGTTCAAGGGATAATTTAAAATATATACTGTTTCACTTGAGCAAATAATTTGTTTTCAAAAACGTACTTTCACTAAATAAATACACCTTTTTTCGACAGATTTAGATTATAAACCTTTAAAATGTGGGGAGAGGACTAGTTGAGATTAAAAAAAAAGACGTTCCCAATAGTTTAGGCAAGATAGTGGTCCAAAGTTTTGACCCTTTTAATGTTAAAACTAAACTTTTAATATTTTGCCGTATCTCTGGAACTATTTAAGAAAACCTTAAACATTTTGCACACTATTGTAGAACTCATTTATCTTCTGAAATATTTTAAGTAAAATATAAATTTTATTTAAAAATTTCATGATTTTATCTAATAACCGACAAAAAATGTTTTGATTTGTTGTATAAACCTTAAATTATGTAATTTTAGCCGATATAATCTGAATTTTTAGCAGAAACTGTTAGATAGTTCCTAAATGTAAATTTAAAGCTACGCCTTTTTTCAAATGTCATTAAGCAGAAACCTTTAAGCCGATTTTGCTTCAACTTTCCACTCTGTTATAAAAAGTTACGTAATTTAGAATTTTAAGAATTTTGTATATTTTTACAATTCAACATTTTTCAACTATTTGCAAATCAAAATAATAAACAAATGCTAATATTTTTTTAAACTTTTATTTTGCATGGAACATTTGTACAAAATGCTTTAATTCGTTAAAATAGTTCCGAAAATATGGGGAAATATGTAATAAAATCCTTCGAATCGCAATAAGGACCCTAATTTTTCAGATCGTTGTACCTTTTTCTTTATAATGACTTACAATTTCCTTTCATACAACTTTTCAATTACTCTTCTTTTTGACAATTTTAACCAAAATTTCATGTATGTTCTTTAAGAAAAAACTTGCTACATATATTAATATTTAGCAACCTTAACAGCTTGTTCACCATCACAGATTTGTACTTTCACAGCTAATCGTTGGAGTTGCCATTTAAATTTGTGTCTTTCCAACTAATCTTTAACTATCAAGCCACTTTTCAATTTTTTAAATGTATTAAAGATGAAATATTTTTAAGATGAACGAGAATGTACACTTTACGAGATCCTTTATGTATCATTTACGAGAATATATACTCACTGAACTATCGAGTCCAAGCGTAAGTAGCATTAGGAAGAACATAACTGACCAAAATGAAGACCCAGGCATTGTGGCCAAGGCCTCTGGATATACTATAAACACTAAGCCAGGACCTGGAAAAAAATTTTAAGCATTTATTATTATCTCTATTTTATTTTTTTTTAAATAATGAATTTGCATAGCTCTTATTATGGATAAAATTGCTTCATATTTCAAACGAAATTTTTTTTAATGCCTGAAGAATAAAACTTACGTATTTTTTTCCTGTTCCTTGTAGCACCGAAACTTCCAAAATAAGAGCATAAATATTAAAGAGGCATATGCTTTAAAGTTGGGTGTTAGACTAGAATTCCCACGAATTCGTCTACTAGGGTTTTAAAATTTTTTAATAGTGGACTCAAAACATAAAAAATTTAAATTTTTTAAGTTATCTTTTAAACGTTAAGACAAAAATTATTTTTTATTTTATAACACAGCCGAGGCAATTTTTTGGGTTTATGACTACTAATGTTCAATTAATGGTAATGTTGCAATCTTGAATCCAATCCAGAAGACAAGGAAACTCCTGGATCGGGTATTGGGTCCCTTCAGGGAGGACTCTTTTATGGAACTAATCCGCATTTGAATTACATGGAGAAGGAAACCACGAAATCCTCCGACGCTCAGCCTGATAGCAAGGGGACTCTAATCCATGATCCGCCTGCTACTGAGGACATTTTACGTCATCACTGTGGTCGGTGTGAGTTATTAGTAGAAGGTACGTAGATACACGAGGTTGTGCTCATCTCGAGTTCATTTTCCTCACCTAATAGTGTACCTGTATTATGACATCGCATTCGCGAACCAAACCGCTGCTTTCTCTATTCCCTGTTACATTCTACAATGCTTTTACAATGACAAAATTATTTAAATGCAATTTCAGATTATAGCTTTTAGAAGTTTTAAATTTTTTTAAAATTTACAGACAGTATAGGAATGGAATGTTTATTCAGTGATCTAATAATATGTTTTATTTGGTTTGAAAAAACAAATGTTATATTATGCGAATGGCCCGGGTACAAAGTACGACCGATGCGATTTTTTCAACTCATGAAAGCAATCGATTAATTATTTTTCATTAAGTTCTTACGCATTTTTTAAGAGTTTTATCGCACCTGATGCAAAAACCATAGAGTAATGAATAAGAGGAGAAGCAATCTACACAGAGAAGGAATCTCACGAATCAAGCCAGCTACCCGGAGATCACCTTATTGAGTTGTCGCAGGTGATCAATTACCTAAACGTGATGCAATCTTTTTAACTCATAAAATAATTTCATTAATTATTTTCATAGAATGCTTTAGAGAATTTTTTTAGCAGTTTTCTACTGAATGTAAACTTCATAGAGTAAGGAATATGAGAAATCGACATAACGACTAGCGCATGAGGCTGTACACTCACGGAGATCGCCCTATTGAGTTGCAGCAGGTGATAATTTAACTAAACGTGATTCAGGTTAAGTCACTCAATATGTGGAGCAGATTGTTATAAAAACAAGCATCGGTGGTTCAGTGGTAGAATGCTCGCCTGCCACGCGGGCGGCCCGGGTTCGATTCCCGGCCGATGCAGCAAATTGGATTTTATATTATTTTTGTATCTTTCTGTGATATCCATTTATCATGGAAAGACCGAGTGCATACTCTTCCATCTTTTTAAGCAATAAATTTCATTCAAGCGAAAAGGGTGTACAAAAAAGAAAATCTCTCATTCTTTATGAAAGAGTAGAAGCGCTGCAGAGAAACTAGCTTGCTCGAGTTCGAGCATCGGTGGTTCAGTGGTAGAATGCTCGCCTGCCACGCGGGCGGCCCGGGTTCGATTCCCGGCCGATGCACTTTTATGGATTTTATATTATTTTTGTATCTTTCTGTGATATCCATTTATCATGGAAAGACCGAGTGCATACTCTTCCATCTTTTTAAGCAATAAATTTCATTCAAGCGAAAAGGGTGTACAAAAAAGAAAATCTCTCATTCTTTATGAAAGAGTAGAAGCGCTGCAGAGAAACTAGCTTGCTCGAGTTCGAGCATCGGTGGTTCAGTGGTAGAATGCTCGCCTGCCACGCGGGCGGCCCGGGTTCGATTCCCGGCCGATGCACTTTTATGGATTTTATATTATTTTTGTATCTTTCTGTGATATCCATTTATCATGGAAAGACCGAGTGCATACTCTTCCATCTTTTTAAGCAATAAATTTCATTCAAGCGAAAAGGGTGTACAAAAAAGAAAATCTCTCATTCTTTATGAAAGAGTAGAAGCGCTGCAGAGAAACTAGCTTGCTCGAGTTCGAGCATCGGTGGTTCAGTGGTAGAATGCTCGCCTGCCACGCGGGCGGCCCGGGTTCGATTCCCGGCCGATGCACTTTTATGGATTTTATATTATTTTTGTATCTTTCTGTGATATCCATTTATCATGGAAAGACCGAGTGCATACTCTTCCATCTTTTTAAGCAATAAATTTCATTCAAGCGAAAAGGGTGTACAAAAAAGAAAATCTCTCATTCTTTATGAAAGAGTAGAAGCGCTGCAGAGAAACTAGCTTGCTCGAGTTCGAGCATCGGTGGTTCAGTGGTAGAATGCTCGCCTGCCACGCGGGCGGCCCGGGTTCGATTCCCGGCCGATGCACTTTTATGGATTTTATATTATTTTTGTATCTTTCTGTGATATCCATTTATCATGGAAAGACCGAGTGCATACTCTTCCATCTTTTTAAGCAATAAATTTCATTCAAGCGAAAAGGGTGTACAAAAAAGAAAATCTCTCATTCTTTATGAAAGAGTAGAAGCGCTGCAGAGAAACTAGCTTGCTCGAGTTCGAGCATCGGTGGTTCAGTGGTAGAATGCTCGCCTGCCACGCGGGCGGCCCGGGTTCGATTCCCGGCCGATGCACTTTTATGGATTTTATATTATTTTTGTATCTTTCTGTGATATCCATTTATCATGGAAAGACCGAGTGCATACTCTTCCATCTTTTTAAGCAATAAATTTCATTCAAGCGAAAAGGGTGTACAAAAAAGAAAATCTCTCATTCTTTATGAAAGAGTAGAAGCGCTGCAGAGAAACTAGCTTGCTCGAGTTCGAGCATCGGTGGTTCAGTGGTAGAATGCTCGCCTGCCACGCGGGCGGCCCGGGTTCGATTCCCGGCCGATGCACTTTTATGGATTTTATATTATTTTTGTATCTTTCTGTGATATCCATTTATCATGGAAAGACCGAGTGCATACTCTTCCATCTTTTTAAGCAATAAATTTCATTCAAGCGAAAAGGGTGTACAAAAAAGAAAATCTCTCATTCTTTATGAAAGAGTAGAAGCGCTGCAGAGAAACTAGCTTGCTCGAGTTCGAGCATCGGTGGTTCAGTGGTAGAATGCTCGCCTGCCACGCGGGCGGCCCGGGTTCGATTCCCGGCCGATGCACTTTTATGGATTTTATATTATTTTTGTATCTTTCTGTGATATCCATTTATCATGGAAAGACCGAGTGCATACTCTTCCATCTTTTTAAGCAATAAATTTCATTCAAGCGAAAAGGGTGTACAAAAAAGAAAATCTCTCATTCTTTATGAAAGAGTAGAAGCGCTGCAGAGAAACTAGCTTGCTCGAGTTCGAGCATCGGTGGTTCAGTGGTAGAATGCTCGCCTGCCACGCGGGCGGCCCGGGTTCGATTCCCGGCCGATGCACTTTTATGGATTTTATATTATTTTTGTATCTTTCTGTGATATCCATTTATCATGGAAAGACCGAGTGCATACTCTTCCATCTTTTTAAGCAATAAATTTCATTCAAGCGAAAAGGGTGTACAAAAAAGAAAATCTCTCATTCTTTATGAAAGAGTAGAAGCGCTGCAGAGAAACTAGCTTGCTCGAGTTCGAGCATCGGTGGTTCAGTGGTAGAATGCTCGCCTGCCACGCGGGCGGCCCGGGTTCGATTCCCGGCCGATGCAATCTTTTTAACCCATGAAATAATTTCATTAATTATTTTCATAGAATGCTTTAAAGAATTTTTTTAGCAATTTTTTACTGAATGTAAAGATCATAGAGTATGGAATAAGAGAAACCGACATAACGACTAGCGCATGAGGCTGTATACTTACGGAGATCGCCCTATTGAGTTGCAGCAGGTGATAATTTAACTGAACGTGATTCAGGTCAAGTCACTCAATATGTGGAAAAGATTGCTATAAAATCAAGCATCGGTGGTTCAGTGGTGGAATGCTCGCCTGCCACGCGGGCGGCCCGGGTTCGATTCCCGGCCGATGCAATCTTTTTAACCCATGAAATAATTTCATTAATTATTTTCATAGAATGCTTTAAAGAATTTTTTTAGCAATTTTCAACTGAATGTAAAAATAAAAGGTATAGACATAAAGTGTCTCTCTTGTTGCCCTATCCTCACGAATATCGCCTCTTTGAGGTGTCGCAAGTCCAGGGTTAAACTCTTTTCAACTATTATAATAGAAACAGTTACTTTTAATCGTCATTTGGCTCAATCCTCACAATATGAGGAGCCGACTAACAGCCGACCTAATTTTTGGGGTTTACGACTACCAATATTTAACTCCGTAGCCTCATAACTTTCAACCAACCCCAGAAGACTAGAGAACTCCTGGATCAAGTAGTGAGCGAAATTTGCCTTCGTGGAGGACTTTTTTAGGGAACTAACTCGCATCCACCCACGGTTAGCTTGATGGAAAGGGGACTCTCACCCATGATCCGTCTACCACTGAGAATATTTTTACGTCAGTATTGTGATCGGTGCGAGCCAGTTGGGGGGAGGGGGGGAATTCGCATCGATCAGCCATTGCCGGGTTTCAAGCCTGGTTCACCTCATTAGATGGCAAACACTCTATCCGAGTCATCACGGCTCAACATGACAATTGATGGTCTTAATTGTTTAGTAACGGAAATGGTCAAAAGCGTGAGAAATATGTATCCATAAAGCTAACACGCCATTCCAGTTCGAGAATAAATGTTTTCAAAAAAATTATTTATCATTGTTTAGTTAAAGGACACGCATCTTTTTTAGAAAACAGATACAAAAAAGACGCATCTCTCTAGAGAACTGATACACCTTTCTAATTTAAAGACATGTCCTTCAACAGAAATAACGTGCTTAGTTCAAGAAACTCTTCTTTCTATTAGTCTAATTTTTTTTCTGAAATAATGACACATCTACCTTTACTTAATTCCCATGCTTCCAGTGTACGAATTTTCATTCTAAAGTTATGGTATAACAACTGGCAGTAGTCTGTTCATCTGACTAACCGTAAAATTGACGGTAAAGAACATTTTTACTTTTACCAGTTAGAAACCGTTTATAATTAACTAGCATGGTTATAAGATTTTGAGTATAAATCTATACGGTTAACCATTTACAGGTAGCATGGTTTCAAAAACGAAAAAAAGTACTTTAACGGGACTTAAGAGCTAGGCTTTTCATTAGGTGATGGGTAATGGAGAGCGCAGGACACAAAACGGTGAGTGTAGGACACCAAACACTCATCCTTTTTGAGGGGAATGGAAGAAATATTGTAGTGTCAGCGCTTGGATTCGAACCCAACTTCTTTCGGTTAAGAAACTGATAGATTAGCCCTCTCGGCTATAACATGCGCACAGTCGCATGGAACTAAGTAGCTTCCTTAGATGGTCTTAGCTGGTGCGATAAATTCTGGTTGTTTAACTCTATTAAATGAAAGTCAGTTATTAAACGGTTTTTCTCACAGTTAACAGTTTGAATACCATCTCATTTATGGTTGTTTTGTTTTGTTTGAATATGGTAAAACAACAATTAAATAAATTGGTATTTAATCATCTTTTCCGAGAAATTTCTAACAGTGTATCAGCTAAATATCATTTCCTTGAATATTATGACCTTGATTTATTACTGTTTTTTATAAATAAATTTAAAAAAAAAAGGAAACAATAAATGAATATAAATATAAATAAAAGAAAATATAAATTTAATTTTTAAGAGTGTTTTACCTTCTGTAGCCACATCCTTGACTTCTACATTTGCTCTGTGAGCCATATAACCAAGAACTGAAAATATTACGAACCCCGACAGCAGACTTGTTGCGCTATTAACAGCACTCGTCAGCAATGCGTCCCTTTAAAAAGAGTGGTAACGATTCTTCAGCATAAAAATATATAATTTAATGATACTTAATAAAGATTTATAATTCATGATATACATTGACATATCTTTTCTTATTATTTCATTCTAAATATTTGTATTTTTAAAAAAAATATATTCAGCATAAAATGACAAAGCTAAAAGTTATTTAATAATATTTACTTATTCAATCCCTAATTCAAAATTATTTTTATCATAATTTTTTGATGAGTATTCGTTACCGTTTTAAAGATTAAGAATCTTTAGCATAAAATGGTATAGTTTGAAGATACTTAACACTAGATTGCCTAAGGAAGTCATTTTAACTGCTTTTAATTTCAATTAGAAAAACAATGATATATAATAATGACACAATTTCTTAGAATTTTGTGACTTTCTGCACAATATATAATTTTTTTATTGTTAATATTTACTAATAACTTGTTATATAACTGTAAATAATATAAAAAATGTTAAAAATTAATTTTAAACAAATTTATTTACACATTCCCAATCCAGTCATTTTGACTGCTTTTGGGCAATATAGGTATATACTAATTTTCCGTCCTTCCAGTGTTAATAAAGATATATAGTTCAAGATAAACATTGAAGTTACTTTTCTAACCATTTAGTGCTGAAGACTCGTTAGCTTTTTAAAAAAAGCAACGAATCTTCAGCGTAAAATTATATCGTTTAAAGTTTCTTAATAAAGATTTAAGATTCATGCTTTATATTTAAGTTCATGCTGAAGAACCCCTTTCACATCATTTCAAGCATCATTTCATGCTGAAGAACCCCTTGAAAAATAAAGATAACGAATCTTCAACAAAAAAAAAAAATACAATGTAAAGATATTTCGACAATGATCTATAATTCAAGATAAACATTGAAGTTACTTTTCTAGCTATTTAGTGCTAAAGACTCATTAGCTTTTTAAGAAAAAAAACCACGAATCTTTAGCGTAAAATTATATCGTTTAAAGTTTCTTAATAAGGATTTCAGATACATGCTGTACATTTAAGTTCATGCTGAAGAACCCCTTGCACATCATTTCAAGCATCATTTGAAAGCACATCATTTCATGCTATAGAACCCCTTCAAAAATAAAGATAACGAATCGTCAGCCAAAAAATTACATAATTTAAAGATACTTAATTTATTAAGTATCTTAATACAGGATCTATAATACAGGATATACATTGAGGTTATTTTTCTAATTATTTACTGCTGAAGACTTGTTAGCTTCTTTTTAAAAAAAGATAAGGAATCATCAGCTGAAAACTATAATGTTTTAAGGTTCTTAATAAAGATTTACGCTTCATGCCATATTTTTTAAGTTACTTTTCTCATCATTTCATGTTGAAGAATAATAAGGAATAATGATCTTTAACATAAAATGACACAAAATAAAGTTTGACGTTTATATATATTGACGAACTACAAATTGGTTATTTGCCTAAAAATGTTTTATTAAATATAAATCAATAATTTAGTCAAGATTAATAGTGCAATAAGTCAGTGGAAGCAAAATCATTGAATGATATTTTAGGACCAAGCAATTAAAGATTTTCATCTTCGTAAATCGCATTTGGACATACATATAACTCTTTAATGACATTTTTACAACGCATTTAATGACATTTTTAATGGTGCTTTTTATGTTTATGACGGAAAGACTAATAACGCGACTTAATGATCATTCTCACTGCATATTGTTCACACTTTTAGTTAATGTTGAACAAGTATCACGTATAAAGCGTGATATTACTATTCATGATTTTTATTTTATTTTATAACCGTCGTTGAACAGCCGACCCAATTTCATGAGTTTACGACTACTTACGTTCAACTCCGTAGCCTTGTAATTTTGACCCAATCCAGAAGACAAGGAAACTCCTGGATTAGTACCCCCAGAGGTATTGATTTGTTGTGGGAACATGGAGGACTTTGAGACTCGACAGATTTAACGTGCATCAGTCACCATTTACTACACGGGGAGTCTTCGGCCGGCGAGGATCGAACCCACGACCTCTTGGATATGGGCCCAGCGCCCTACCGACCAGGCTATCCCGGCCTATTATTTGTGATTGCATAAAAGATTTTAAAGATTGATAAAGAAATTTGATAAAGATATGAATTGATAACTGAATTGATAAAGAAAAAATTTTACTGTTGTCGCAATCGCTTTAAAAAAATTGCGACGCGCATACTTTGTATTCAAATTATCCAAAAACAATTGAATGAAACTAGCTGAAATTTCGCGTATGTTTATTGAAAGGTTTCGTGATTGGTGAAACAAATCGCATAACTCATTATAACTAAATAGTTACTCGATAGTTAGTTTGTTCTCCATAGAACTTTTTTCCTTTCGCAGTAAAAAAATATTACCACATTTGCCTTCTGTTTCCAAAAAGCGTAAATTACAAAAAATGGTGGGTTTGTAATCACCGAATGTATATTTTGTACCCTCACCAATTTAAACCAACACCGTAGATATTAACCTTTCTGTATTGCGAAAGAAAATATTTTATTTTATTACAGTCGTTGAACAGCCGATCCAATTTAGGATTTACGACTACCCGTGTTCAACTCCATAGCTTTGTAATTTTGAACCTCATCCAGAAGACAAGGGAACTCCTGAATTGGGAGAAATTTGCCTTTGTAGATGACTTTTAGATGGAACTAACCCGTATTTGCATTACATGACGAGGAAAACCCCGAATACCACTATCACGGCATAGTACTCTAACCCATAATACCGTCAACCACTAAGGATGTATTACGTCAGCACTGTGGTCGGTGCGAGCCGGGTGCGGAATTCTTATCGACCCGCCATCATTTGGATTCGAATCCGGTTCAACTCAGAGGAGAGCGCTCTGTTCCCTAAGATACCACGGCTCGAAAATAAGAAAAGAAAATATTACTCAGCAGGGGGTAAACTTTTCGTATTTAAATACAAGAGTTGAATTTCGAACAAGCGATAACTTTTAATTACCTATTTTATATTCGCCGTATAATTGTCGTGTCTGAAATATTTGTATGAGTGTGCCATAAGCAGAATAAATAATGAAGCGGGGGGAAAAATGAAAGAGTTTCATTTCAAGCTTTCACTTTTTTTAACAGTAAAATATTTTTACCCTCTTAAAAATTTTTTATCATCGTATTTCCTCCCCCACTAAAGTCTATTGAAATCCCTTTTAAGCAGCGATGCTTGATCTTTAACGTTAGACACGTTCATCAAGAGATCAAAGGTGAGAACAGATCTGCCATTTGAATGATCGAGGAAGGCTTCTTTGCCTGCAGGGGAAGAGATTCACCTGTTCATTTAGGTTAATATTCTCAATAGAGATAATATAATACATGAAGTTTACTATAAAATCGAGCATCGGTGGTTCAGTGGTAGAATGCTCGCCTGCCACGCGGGCGGCCCGGGTTCGATTCCCGGCCGATGCAGCAAATTCTTTTTTATATTAAAATATTTTATAATTCAAAAACTAAAGTGTAATCTTCAATGAATATCCTTCAGATATTAACGATATATTGTGAATGGAACAATAAAAGGATATTGCTCAGCACTTTTCGATTTCAAGTCTGTAATTATACATTATCTGCGGGTATCTAGTTACAGCTTTGAAATGCAAAAACCAGATTATTTTGCACTTAACCGTATGTGAAACCTATCTATAGAATTCAGAAATAGAAATTTTTAAACATAAAATCAAACATTCATTTAAGCTTTAATTTTTATCAAAAAGGGTATGTTATTATTATCTATAGTTTAAATATTATATCGACGAAATATGCATTTCTTATTTATACTCCATATTTGCAAATCTCTACAGCTTGAGTTACCTAATAGGTATTGGAAGGAAGTAGTACAAATTCAAAAACTGTTAACCAAATTATACAATTACAATGTCGTAGCTGCTGCTTCATACCACCAACATAGATGGGTTAAGTATGCGCATTTTCATTAGAAAATATATATATTTAGCATGCACATAATAATTTTTTGTCTTATTTATTTCGAGTGTAAATATTATTTAAAAAGAAATCCTGTCTTTAAAATTTTGCATTACTTCTATGGGTATTCAAAAAAGAACAAGATAAATATCTCAATTGATGAAACTGCATGCCTCGTTCTCACTTGTAATTGGTAGCTGAGTATAGAGAAATAGGATGTTTAATTCGGAAATAAGTTAGGTAGAATATTCTGTGATATCTGTTGAGTTCACATTTATTATTTACGTTTCTTGATTCAACTCAAGCCCTCATTTCTGTGGATATTATTAAATGAGTATTTAAAAATGACAGTTTAAATTCTGCGTGGGAGGATATATAACAGTGTAAGGGCTATAAACTGTACAAACCTAAAATATAAATCACTAAAAGAATCCGCTCCCTGTTCACGGAAGCTCGGAAAATCGGTATGCTATCTTCCCAGATACAAAAATAAGGTTCATTTTAACTCAGCAAGAACTTCTTAATGTAAACCTAAAAAGGTTTGTGATGCGGCTTACGTGTAAACCTTCTAACCTTAAAACGAGATCTGTGACAATCTACTCTATTCTACGCACATTGCCCTCATCCAAAACCTTGGTAAACAACCTTCTATACAAAAACCTCAAGTCGAGGTTGACTTAAGGTTTTCAAGCGTGAAAAAAATCCTTTCATAAAGGTAGTCTCAAGTTGAAAAGAATTTTAAATCTAGGTAATAAGGCATCTTTTTGCAACGTCTTGTATGCTCAGCTAAAGGTCTGGTTTCTTAGGACAAGCGCCTTATCTAAGCGTCAGCGGGACGTCAACGTCCCGCTGATGCCAACAAAATACTGGTTTGTTAGCTCAAGGCCCAGTGGCGTAGCGAGGGATGGGCAAGGGGGGGCATCATGCCCCGGGCGCTACTCACAAAGGGGCGCCAAATGGTCCGCAAAACAAAAAATTGCTGGATAATTTTTTTTATTATGATTTATTTCTGGAAAATATATTTTAAATTAG